GCATTGCAAGGTCACTTTTAAAAGTTGCAGATATTTCCACATGAAATCAAGAAGCAATGTGAAACATAATCTTAAAATGTATAATTTAAAATTGCAAATTGTGACTCGAGAAAAAAGTCCAACAAAAATTTTTGTGAAACCTATGAATTAAAGCTTAGAAAGTTACAGTGAAGTATTAAAGACCTAAATAATAAGTTGAATATTTAAATCCATACATGCAATGATTTACAATCAAAAGGATACTATACTCTCAAAATCATTCTTAAAATTTAATACTATGGTAATAAAACTCCAATAGAGGTTTCATGGCCTTGCATAGTTGTTCTAAGATGAGTATAGAAGAGCAAAGCTACAAAGATCAAAGAATACCCATGGTTCTTTGAAGAAAATGTGAAGGAAATTATAAAAAAATATATCAAGATTTAAATCTTTAATTATAATAAAGTAAAAATCAAAATCAACAAGCAACTATAAACCAGAGACACACTACAGGGGGGAGAAGGGATTAGGATCAAAACAAATGGGGTGGGAATTGTATGGGGAATATAACCAAGATGAAAATGCATACATTGTGCGAAAATTATAAATGATGTAAAAAATATATAAAATTAGATTTAAATAATAGACACAATATTTTTCTTCTAATATAAAAAAGGCAAACTGACTAACAGCAATAAAATAAACTTTGAAACACATATACACAAAGTATATTTTATTTTTTTTTTTTTTTTTTTTAATACACTGCTGAGGGGAGCGGCGAGCCATACAGAAGAGGTCCACTGCGCCATGTGGGTCATCAACCCGGCCAGGAACTGAACCCATGCTGCAGTAGCTGCAGATAGCTTCATAATGCTGTGCTTAACCCCTTGTGCCACCAGGGAGGCCCCACAAGGGATATTTTCAATGTTAGTGTATTTCATGGACAGAGAAGCCCACGGAGAAGGTGAGAGATGGAAATGGCCTGTCAGTGAAGCAATCAGAGCACACACATTTATCAATTAATTTCACTGTCTTATATAGGCACGGCTCATAGCACCCCAAAACAATTACAACAGCAAAATCAAAGATTACTAACAGTAGATTATCCTAGTATAGATAATAATGCTGTTATAGGGCAACCCCAAAGGGAAATGGGATTGCCAGGGTGTAAGTCCTCACCCTGGCACTTAAAAAAACAAAATAAAATTAGAACAAGACCTAAGGTCAGGCACACACACTTAAGTTAGGAAAAGGTTTAATTACAAGGGGAATTGAAAATAGCAGGAGCACAGACAATAAGAGGGAGAGATTAATTGGTCAATAAATCCTACAATAATACTGCCAGAACTGGGGCTTGGGTGCATGCTGAAGGCAGGCAAAACCAAGATCCTAGGCATAAAGTGTGAGTTGCTCCTTAACTCACACTTATTTCCCAGTAATCCCCCTTCAAGAAGTCAAGAGTCATGGCAGGATGGGAATGTAATCCTTGGCCCCTGAGAGGTCTTTGACATGAAGATGGGGATGGAGTTCATAAAATATCAGTGGGTAGAGTTCATTCAGGACATACTGTTCCCTCAACAATAATAATAGTTTCAATTATTGCGAGAAGTACCAAAATGAGACAAAGAGAGACAAAGTAGGCACATGCTGTTGGAAAATAACGTGCCCATGGGCTTGTTAGACACAAGGTTTCCACAAACCTTAAATTAAAAAAAAAAAAAAATCCAGGGCCTCCCTGATGGTGCAAGGGTTAAAGACAGTGCTATCAAGCTATCTCCAGTCACTGCAACACAAATTAGATACAGCCAGGGAGCTACCCACATAGCTCAGCAGACCTCTCCTGTGTCACCCACCACTCCCCTCAGCAGTGTATTTCAGTAGATCTTCCTGTTCTGCTCCCCACTATCTCTGGTGAATCTTCTAGCCCCACAGCTCTGGCCTATACCCCAGTTATTGTATGCATAACCAAATAAATCTTTTTAAAAAATGCAATATCTCTAAACTACAAAAACTGAAGCATTATAAAATGAGGTATGCCTGAATCAAAATACTAATTATAAATTGGATTTCAGTCCCAACACACATCTAGAAATCAGCACAGTGTATAAAGTAGATAATCACTTTTCTTTTATTGAATAAATTAAAAATCTGTATATCAAACACACCTCACTTTCTACTACTTTTTTCAAGATTTATTGAGGTATAATTCATAGACTAAGAGCTGAAAATATGTAAATACCAGTAATACCATCACCACAATCAAGGTAATAGACATACCACCTTCCAGAATTTCTTTGTGTCCTTTTTTTTTTTTAAAGATTTATTTATTTACTTATACAAACACTGGGTACAGTCAGAAGCACGGGAGGGTGAGAGAATTCACCAGAGCCAGAGTGGGGAACATAGCAGGTTGACTGACGAAATACACTGCTGAGGGGAGCGGCGGGAGCGGCAGGAGAGGTCTGTCGCACCATGTGGGACCCTCGCCGGTGGCTGGGGATTGAACTGGCGCTGCAGAGGCTGCGGGCAGCTTTGCAGCCCAGAGCTCAACCGCTGCACCACCAGGGGAGGCCCTTGTGTTCTTTTTTTGAGTACCAGGGTTAAGTTTATTTTTGTTGTATAAGAAGGCCTAACATGAAATCTTCTACAGAGATTTTCTCAGTCCTAGACATTTTGAAGTTTGAATTCTCAATAAAAATTTAAAAAAATATAAAATAAAAAATAAAAAAAATTAAAAACTGATTGGAAATCCCATTAAAATTTAGCAGACCTACAACAAAATATTCAGATGTCATTGTATATCTTTCAGTTTTTTGTGCTTATTCAAATATAAGATGCTATATAATATGCTTTCTCACAGTGATACAGTGAAGAACATGATTTCATAGAGGTCAGCCCGAGTGAATGAATAATTTTTGTATGATTTGTTCTTCCATTTGCATTTTTTATGCATTTCCGCATGTCATCTTTATGTTAAATTTTATCACGTACTATTTACTTTTGTAAATAACTACCAAATTGTGAGATTCTTTCAAGAAGACAGAACCCTTAAATTTTAAGAACATAGCAGAACTGAAAGTTTTACACCCAGATGTCTTAAACTGGTAGCTTAGGTTTTCATATGCTTCTTGAGGTAGTTACTATCAGGTATTTACTTCATTATGCAGAAATTCCCTGTTCTGTGCATTTCACCAGTTTTATTTTTCTTTTATCCTTATCATCAGTTTAGATACATTATGCAAATGAAGACTTAAAACACTCTAAAATTAACATTTAAATAGAAAAAAATAAAAGTGAAATTAGACACTGTATTTAAGCTGATGTGTCACATAAAATATAAGTCTGAATGCATATTTTACATCAAAGTGGAAATACAGCAAACATACACCTGTTTATGTGTAATCTGGTTCCTTATTTGTTTTGACAAAATGGCACTGGAATTTTAATAATCTCTGCATATAAACCACAATTCCAACAAAATAAAGATATTGGCTTCCCCATGAAAATAAATTTGTAACTTTATTAAATGTTTTTAACATGGAAATATTTGGTTCACAGTAAAAATAATTTTTATTTTACTAGTAGTTACTACTTTAGACAGCTAGAAGCAGCAATTCTGAAATGTTGTTTAGAATGTTTTTTAAAAATGATATGATGATAGGATATAGGAGCAGAGCATAATTTTAATTTGTTTTGAATTTTCTTATTCATTCACCAAACTACATATTTTATCACACTCAAAAAACCCAGTTATTTAACTACCTAAACTCTTCTGCATTACAAATTGGTGAGGGACTATAAAGAAAATTGGAGAGAGGAGAAATTTCTTAGTCTTTAAATTAAAGGATCTTCTGATTTTGTCACTCATTAGCACTGTACTTTCAGCAAATTATGCTCCTTGAGCTCTAATTTATTCATCTTTAAAAATAACAAAATAAAGTAAGTTCTGCACATCTGCAAGGAATCACATGGAGATATCAATGTAGGTCCTTAATGCACTTGACTGTACCAGTGTATACAAAACAAACAACAAGCAAAATAGAAAACCTATAATTAATTCAAAATAATTGCACAAGTTAAAATAGGCAATGGGTAATATAATGTATTAAAGTACAGTACATAACAGGTATAATATAATACAGTGTATAAAACTACACTATCCTACTCATTAAATTGATATTAAAAATTATAACATGCTAGATAATATAACACAGAATTATTCATTCAAAGAACTAACAGTTTAAAATAAGTGAAAGTCCAAAATAAATATAGTAAGTCATATTGGGGGTTTAAACTTTCTAAGAGAACTGACTCATTTGTGGAGGAACAGCAAAATGCTATGCAAAAGCAAAAAAAAAAAAAACAAAAAATTGTTCATGTACAAAGATTAAGTACTAATGAGATGAAAATATGAAATCTTGCAGGAAGAGAGAACAGCAGATATAAAGATGCACACTCAAGGGAATTGTTATTTGGATAACAACAAATAATTTATCTTGACAGGAAGATGGAGTCTTAGGCAGGAGTGTTAACAGAGGAGGATAAAGATCTGGGAAGAAACAAGTGACAACTTGGTTGTGTTGAACTCCAAGGACTTCTAGTTTATACTGATATAAGATGGAGAGTCATAAAATTTTTCACTAGTATAGGACCATTTTCATATTTACATTTTAAAAAGATGACTGTGGCTATAGTATAAAAGCAAGCAGATCCCTTAGTGGAACATTGCAGTCAACTATGGGAAAAATGATAAGCCAAGGAGCAGAACTAAAGTGGACACAGTGGCTATGAAGACAAATGGACAGTGGACAAGTTAGAGCAATAATGAGGTGATGTGAATTGGAGGACTATGTACAGTAGGTTGAAATAGTAGACTTCTCATTTGAATGTGATATCGTTTTCTGACAGAGAAAGAAGGCAGACATTTTAATTTCAGTGATGAAGAGTGATCATGAATTCCTTTTTGAAGTGCTGAGTTTAAGAAAAACCATCCAACTATAGAAACTCAGACTGCTCCTTACCTTTGTGGAGTGCCCTTCTTGTGAAACAGCATCATGATGCAAACACATTCCATATTCTTGATGGAACCTGCAATAATCCTGATTATTTTGGTGAAATCACAACAAAGACTTCACATTGTTCCTCAATACAATGTTGTCAACTTCAGAAAATTATCAACCAAAGAGACAAAGTTTTGGAAAACTCTAGTACTTTGATTTCAGGATATGTGAAGATAAACCACCTCCAAACAATTGAATTATGCTGAACAAATGAGGGTATTTTAAAATTAAATTAAAAAAATCTAAAGATATTTGATATGATCATGGAGTGCCCTTCACCATTAAAATCAATGTGGTAATTTAAAAGAAAATTTAAAATCTAATTTTCCACTTACTATAATAATCCAACATTATGCAGAATTCTGAACTTGGCCTTTTTTCACAATTAATTGAATCACAGTGGAGACCAATATTATTGATGTCCTGGTTTCTCTTTTCACTACATATGACAGCTATTCAAAGTTCAGAAGTTTTGAAAAACATCAAAACTTGTCAACCATATAGTGCAGTGAATATTTTTTAAATAACATTTATTTTGAAAATAAATTGAAAACCACACTGAAGGGTAAGGAAAAAATATCAGGCTTTTCTGCCTCCCGCCATTAGTATAGATGAGGGAACCCTGTGGTCCTGAATGCATGCCTGATGGCAGGCACCTGAAGTGGGTACACCTGAGCTGAGAGACTGAGTTTATGAGGGTGGCATCTGGGGACGCCAGCAGAAGATGCCATTCGTTCCAAGAATGAATGGAAGCTGAGAGAGGAGAAGCAGAGAGAACGCCAGAAAGCCCAGATAGAGAGAGGATTTGCTGGGGGCTGGGAGGACTGCCAGCCTCCTGGCCCCCCAGCACCCCTGCCTGCCATATGCCTGGTAAATCTAAATAAAAGACCTGCAAAAGCCACTGAAGACTCTGACTCCTCCTTTACCCGGTCTGCTGGATCAGAAAACCTGCTCCGTGGCCATGTTCCTGTCTCTACACATAGCACCAACAGTGCTCACTCACTGATAGTTTGAGTATATTCTAAGCTATTTAGTTTTGAGTAAATTCTGAATCATGTGGCTATTGTTTGAAATGCATGGCATCTAAAATGAAGTTCTAACAATAACATGTTAATGTATTTATAGAAAATTACCAATCACATCGTTATTAGTTACAATGTATTTGATTTTAGTATTAAATATTTTGAGCTATTTTCAATGGGTTATTCTTTAGGTAGTGAGATAATATAAGACAGAAGATCCATGAATTTTACTTCTGGTAAAGAGTCAAGATTTTATCTTAACAGAAAGTACTAGAATTATTACCTTTAATGAATGAGCAATGAGAAAACACAAATTATCTTCTTATATTAATGTCTTGCAACCTTCCCAGGCCGGGTACGTTCACCTTCGGGTCTGGCGATTTGAAGGAGAATTTTGGAGCCCTTGGCAACATTTTCACAGGTTTTAATGGGTGTAAGGGAGGACTGGATACAGTGCAGGATTTCTGATCCCATGCAGACCGGTAAGGAGGAGTCAGAGTCCTCAGTAGTTTTGCAGGTGTTTTATTTGGGGTTCACCAGGCATATGGCAGGTAGGGGTGCTGCTGGCAAGTCTTCACTCTATCTGGGCTCTCTAGCGTTCGTTCTGCTGCTTCTCGGCTTCTCTTTCGGGTTCTGCTGCTGCTGGCTGGGGCTGCTGGCGTCCCCGTGACGCCGCCCTTAAAAATCACAGTCTTAGCTCAGCTGAATCCCATCTACCTATGCCCACCCTATTCCAGGTGCCCGCCATCAGGCATGCATTCAGGAAAAGGATCCATCGTCTATCCTGATGGCGGAAGGGCAGAAAAGCCTGACATTTTCTTTACCCTACAAATGGTAAGCAGGGAAAACAAGCCAGAAGGGAGACAGCAACTTGAGCCCCCTGCCAATCTCTATATGCTCTTTTCGCTGGGCTTCCTCCGCTAGCCATTGCACGTCCTAACTGTGCCATCGCTGTGTAATGTGGCCTTTATATCCCTGACCTCCAGGCTCAAGTGTGCACACTAGCACATGCACGCACACCCCTGCTCAGGTGTCCACAGTCAGGCACGCGTGCCCCACACCCACACGCCCATACATTAACAAGATCAAGGCTGTAGGCGATAGCCACAAAGGCCAATGTCATAAAAGCCTGATCAACTTCATTTACCCTACAGTTAGATTACTAGGATCCTCCACTTGTGTTCGCCTATCTCTGCTTCACAGCCTCAGGATTTTGTTTGACAACTCTAAATTATTATTGGCCATGCAATTCAGAGTAAACATAAATTGTGAGCAAGATCATAAGCATGGCCACTAGACTGAAATTTCCTTGTTTGTATTCCTAACTAATGGCACTGAAATATACCATGATTACTCAAACAGAAGTGATGATTATGAATACATTACTGTAATGGCAGGAAGGACATGGAGCAGGTTCTCTATGACCCTAGCAGATGGGGTAAAGTAGGAATCCTAGAGCCTTTGGTGACTTTTCTGGCTTTTATTGGGATTTACCAGGTACACAGCACATAGAGGTAATGAGGGGCCAGGAGGCTGGCAGGCCTCCCACCCTCCAGCAGTCTTCACTCTATCTGGCGTTCTCTGATGGTCTCTGCTTCTCTTTCCTCTCATGGTTTTCCTGGAGTCCCCATTATGCCACCCTTATAAGCCCAGTCTCTCAGCCCACGTGCATCCCATCTACGCATGCCACACCCTATTCCAGGTGCCCGCCATCAGGCATGCATTCAGGACCACAAGGATCCATTATCAATCCTAATGGCGGGAGGGCAGAAAAGCCTGTTATCATTTACTTACCCTACAATTTATCATTTACTTACCCTACCTTTTCTTGTTTGCCTCCATTTGGGGTGTCTAAGCACCTTGCTTTGAATTATCAGGTGGAGTGAGCTAGATTCAATATTAGACATTATATTTCCTCTCTGGTTACTGTGAGAATGTCTGACTAGAGATAAACATAGTAAGTAAGCCTTCCTTTTGAGAATAAGTTATTGAAATGGCATATGATGAAACAGGCAGAAAAAATAAACCTGTTGCAGCTTGTAATAATATTCCATCTGCCAACACTGATAGCCTTTGTTACCTGGCCTCTTCATTGCAAAAAGGGTGTCTCAATAACTTTATAACACTATTACTGTTCTATCCTAGATGTATTTTCATAAGCAGTTATTACCAGCTTATTTTTAACAAGAGTACCATGAGCTTCACAGTCTTCTTGCATGCATTTGTTGGTGCATTAACATATGTGTGGCTTAATCACTCTGCAAGTCATACTGCATTTTATTCTTCAAAGATATGATTAGAATTTATGCCTTTAATTTCCTAGCGCTCTTACTTCCACCTAAGTAGGTAAGCATCTTATCTCTTTAAATTGTTCATTATAAATTCATGCCTGGTAAATTAGTTTTCAAACTGAATTCAGAATTACCCAATTGATAACCATAGTAAATTAATAACACATGAAGCAGGTTGCCAATGACAGTAGTAGTTGTTTACTGAGATTTTCTGCACAGATCTCTGCAGCTTTAAACAAAGTTATTTTATCCATTTATCACTTTAACTGCTAAAGCACTATACAGTAAGTGCTATATGTCATTTCTACACTGTGCATTTTGGAAGAATTTGCTTGGTTACACAATTGTGATAGTTTCTCTGTTTTCTCCCTAAAGCAAATGTAATACACTCCCTCAAATGCCAGATGGAAAACTAATTATCTCTAAAACAAATACAGCTGTAGCTAAAGTAGTCTTACCTTCTCAACCAGTTTGTCTTCATCTGGCCTAGAGGAGCTTATTTTAGAGACAAAAGCTAAGGATAATATTTCCAAGTCTAGTTTGTCATCTGAGACTGCAAATAAGAAAGTTATTATGAAGCGAGCATGAGGATTTTATTCCTGGTTAGTTAGGAGGGGTGGGTTGAGGTTCAAATGTCATATCCGTGACCAAGAATTATATTTCCACAGTAAACTCTTATTTTAGGGCGATGTTTCAATTAACTGTAGAAATTAAAGTTTCCTATCCTATTGGAAGAGAAATGACTTTTGTCTGAATTTTGTATTCTACTATGACTAGAGATATTTTCTTTCAAAGATTTGTTTATTATACGAAGAACTGGGGTACAGTCAGAGGTGCAGGAGGGTGAGAGGATTCACCAGAGACAGAGTGGGGAACAGAACAGGCAGATTGACTGAAATACAGTGCTGAGGGGAGCAGCGGGTGAGGCAGGAGAGGTCTGCCGCGCCATGTGGGCTTCTCCCTGGCTGGCCGGGAATCAAACTGGCACTGCAGAGGCTGCAGACAGCTTCACAGCACGGCGCTCAACCCGCTGTGCCACCAGGGAGGCCCTAGAGATTTTAAATACATAATAAGCCAAGGAATACATCCATTTGACATGCTTTATTGAACATCTCCTAAGCATTGTTCTACATACTAGGGATTGAGTATTAAAGCAAAGGAATAGTATTAAAGCAAAGGAAATAAAGAAAACAAATCTGTTTTCCTAGAGTTTGCATTTTAGTTAAAATAAGATAACATTATAAAAACAAGTAAAATACAGACTTCATTAAATGGCAATGACTGCTAGGGAGAACATTTAAGCAGGCCCTTGATACTGAATATTAGGGAGTAGAATATTCAGTTTTAAAGAATGCAAGGGAGGTCTCTGAAAACAGCGTTCATACAATAAAATAGTGGTCCTTCACAACCTGAAGGAAGTGAGAAAGTGAGTTAATTTTTATGAAAAGAGGAAATAGGAAATGATTTGCCCTTGAGCTGTGTAGGGTAAGTAAAGTATCAGGTTTTCTGCCCTCCCACCATTAGGATTGATGATGGATCGTTAGTCCTGAATGCATGCCTGATAGCGGGCACCTGGAGTAGGGTGTGGGCATATGTAGATGGGCTGAGAGAATGGGCTTATAACCGTGGAGTCATGGGGATGCCAGCAAAACCAGACCAGAGCAAAAGGAACAGCAGAACAAAAGAGCAAAAGAGCTCAGAACAGTAGA